ATAGAAACGGAGGAAACTGAGGCACAGAGAGAGAGGATAAGGTCACCAGCTGGTAAGTGGCAGTGTCGGGACTTTTGCCCACTCACCCGGTGCCTCTTCAGGCACGCTTGCAGCATTATCGTTGTCAACCTTGTGCATGGTGTGTTTATACACCTGGTGTAGCCTTGGCCAGTGCCGGCACAGAACAAGCCAACACATTGCAGTGGCTCCTATTGATTATTTTCTAGGCCCCTTTTCCTTTCTCTGTGCTTATGGGTGATTTCAGCCAGCCTGGACTCACCAGTTTGTCAGTCACCCAGCGCCATTCCCAGCACATTAATAGGCACTGCCTGGAATGCAGCTCGGTGGTGCCAGAACCTTGGGGAGTTGATGACCATTTTAACACCCACCTGCCAGCTGTCACTCATTCCACTCTGAATGCAGCCCCCTTGGCTCATTGAAAACCTCCACCAGGGCCTCACCTTCTGAGTCATTTGGATTGGGTATTTGGGCTTTATGGAGCCCTGATTGCTCTTTATAGAAACTAGGCACCATCAGGGGGAGGAGAGAGGAGAGAGGGAGTGCTGCTTCAGTTTTTCAGGTTATAATGATTCCAGTAATTGAGACACCGAATTGTGCATTTAAATTGTTTGAAAGTAAAAAATACCATTTTGTAATGCTGGTGTTAATGTAAACATTAAAAAGGAATTAAATTCTTAGCTTCTTTGTGGAACACGACTACCTGATTTCTCTTCTTTCACCTTATTCAACTGGAGAAAATGATTGGCTGCAATCCCCAGATATGTTACCCAAAAGTGGGTCTGGACTTGCATCAGAAAAGTGAGTCATTTCATGCTCCCGGTTAAAGGTAGCCGGAAGGGTCACCCTGATAATAGACTGCTGCCGTATTCTGGAGGTGAGCTTTTTTCAAAGACATGTAAATGTTTGAGGTGGGCTGGGATAGGCTCAGTGGGGACCTGAAGTGCAGCCGAATATATCCAAAGCCCCTCAGTTCTGCCGAGTTGCCTGTCAGCTGCCTCAGGGATCTGCCGCCTCTCTGCATCTGTTCCTTAGTAGATGTCACCAGAGAGTGACCTTCCTGACCCCCATCTAAAGTAGCAACCCCATCTCTGTTTGCTTTTGCCTCAAAGCACGGGTCAGTGCTTGGCAGCAGGGCCTGGTACCCAGTCATCTGTAAATAGGTGTTGAGTAAAATAATCTGAAGAGAATGTATGACATGAGAATATAAGCCTAGGTCACTTGGCCCTCCTGTCCCCAGACCCAGCCCTTCCCCCTTAAGTTGCCCATCTTTGAGGGTTGGGGGAGAAAGGCTAAGGGAAATCAGGCGCAGGTAGATTTCCGCATTTTGCTCTTGGGTTGACTCTCAAACTTTCTGTCCCATTTCGGGGCAGCTCAGTAGCAGAAGGGAGAAGTTCTGAGAGAGGCATAATGGAAAAGGCCTGTGCCTGGCTGCAAGTCCGCCTGCCTGGCTGGAGCTCAAATCAGTGTTGTCCCAGGGCTGACTTTCCCCCTCCCTCCCTCCCCTCTAAATCTTGGCACCCACACTTTCATTTCAGTTCTTTTCCTCATCTTCTGTTTTATGTTTTTGGCCACAGAGGATGCAGATTTAAATCAAAACTCAGAAGTTTAGATCATTTTGAAGAGCTGCTGATGAGTGGTCTTGCCTTGCCATTTGTTTTATTAGACTGCTTCCTGCCCTTTCCTGCATGGTCTAAAAGCTCTGTGCAGCTGGGAAGAGTGATGGGGCTGCCAGGGTGCTGCCCAGAGACGCAGGGCTTCCTGATCACATTGCATTATGGAAAAGCTGTAATAACATTCGGCTCTTTAGCCTCCTCTTTAATCACACAGGGGACACTGGAGGGATGGGGTGGGGGTGGAGGTGGATGGATATCTTCCAGGCTGCCCTGAGCCCCTGCTCCATGGATATGGGAAGGATCCATGTTTGCTCTTCCACATCTCCTGTCTGGAGGACTGGAGGACCAAGTTAGATTTCTCATGGGACAGAAGAGGAGACTGAGGTGGGGGAGATGCTTAGGAAGTCTCCCAGCGCTCAGAGCACACTGACCATATGAGGACATGGGCAGAGGAAGAATCGAGATCAGAACCTGCAGCCCTGGCACTGCCAGGCTCCTGCCATCCCCTCATGCTCCCCACTGGCTCTGTATGTCTCTGTTTCTCTCTCCTTAGGTCAGGTATCAACTTGACTTGAGGTTTATGGAGAGAGGTTCTCATCAAACCCATTTCCTCTTTATAGGTACACAGTTAGTTAAACAATACATCAGACCCCTGGCATCTGGGTAGGGCCACATGGCTAGTTCTTGCCCGTGGGATGTGGATGTGCCTTCTCCCTGCTGTCTGACTTTTATCTGTCAACAGCAACCTTGTAGACTGAGTTTGAAGAGAGTGGTGTCACATGATGGAAAGAGCCTGGGTTCCTGAATCACTGTGTGGAGCAGGGGCTGTCTGCTGACCACATTGGATTGTCATGTTATGCTACTGATATTTGGGGATTGTTTGTTATAGCAGTTAGCCTGACTCCAACTAATACCTGTGTATTACTAATTCAGTTATTCAGTTAGTAATTACTAACACCTGTGTACCTCAATTCACAAAAGAAGAGAGCTTCACCCTTACCCAGTTGGGTAAGGGATGCCAGCCAAGAGGCTCTTACAGTCTTCCAGACAAGAGGGAGCCATAGAGGTAGAAGGTTCAGAGGTGCTTTTTAGTTTTCACCTTCTGGGGTTTCTCCGTATCCTTCTTAATCTCTCAGTGCCCAAGTATATCAACCCCTTGTGGCCACCTGAACCACTTACCATTCCCGGGTAGAATGCTTGATTTGCCTTTCCCATGCTTGTTGATCCTTTTCCTGGAACACCTGCCCCTCCTCATCACCTTTCAGACTTGACTCCCTTTCAAGGTGCTGCTCAAACACCACCTCCACAATCACCCCGTGAGGCAGTGAGCCCTCGCTGCCGCTCCTCTCCGGGTAGCACCGCACAGCCAAGCAGATGGTCCTCATCCCCTCTTGAAGCACCCGTGATGTTTTCATAGGAGGTCTGACTCCCTGGTTAAATTATGAGGTTCTTAGCAATAATGACATGATCCTCACACTTCCTTGTTTCCTATACAGGCCTTAAAACGGTGTTGTTTGTACTGGGCACTCAGGAAGGAAGGGAAGGATTCAGGGAGGGAGGGAGGACTGATTAATGAAATCACAAACAAATGAATGAGCTACTTAGCCAGATTTTCAAGGACTTAGCACTGTGTTGTATGTACCAGACGCTTGGTAAATACTTGCTGGAAAGGAAGGAGGGAGGAAGAGTGAGAAGGGAGGGAGGGAATGTGAGACAGAACGAAAGAAGGCAAATGGATGAAATAATGACATCACAAACAAATGAACGAGCTACTTGACTAGATTTCCAAGTGTTTCCACCATCTGGGCTCATTCCATTTCTCTTCTACTACTTCCAACCGCAAAACCCCAATTCTGAATGGGTTCTGTCCACAGACTTGTGGGTGTGCTGGACTTTTCCTTTCCCCCATTCTCAGCCACCCTCCCCTCACCCATCCCCCAGCGCTTCTCCACTCCTTCATCTGTAAATGGTACGGTTGATCATCCACACCACGCTGGTGAACGTCGTCTCCTTGGGTCCTGTCTTATGTGGTGTGTGTGAGTTCATGTGTGTTATTCCTGCCTCTCTGACTAGAATCCAGACTCCCCAAGAGCTGCATCTTCCCCAGCATGAGCCAGTAGATGAGCAGGGAATCACTGAGTGATTCCTCAGTGTACTCTTGCTGACTGCCAGATTATTTAGGGCTCCCTCACTCTTTTTGCCATTTTCAAGTAAACACAGATTGGAGACCGAAAACATATACATCCCATCATCTCTTCTTTCCATGCCTTTCTCTTCTCCCGTTTCCCAGATTGGAGCAAGTGGGTGGGCTCACTCAGTCTCTAAATTCATTGAGTTTCTGAATCTGCAGAGTCATGAGCAAATTTTCAGATCACAGCAACCCCTAGGAGTCTATGAGTTCAGCAAGAATGCACTAAAACCAGTAGCCGACTTCTTTGTTCCCTCTACTTTTTTTTTTTAACAACAAATTACACTTTTTTTAAGGGACATCTTTAGGAGGAGATGGGAACATGGGCTGGGCCTCAAATGATTGGAAGAGGAAGAAGAAGGCCTCATACATGAGGGGTGCCATGGGGTAAAGGTATAGCCAAGAGAGGGGGCATCACTTGGGCAGGAATTGGGACCCCGGCCACAGAGAATAGTTGTGACACAGCTAGTGACCTGGGTGGGCCGCCCCAAAAGACTTGGATTCCAGCTGATCATCTCTGTGCCATTCTCAGGCAAGACCCCCCCCCCCACTCCCCCCGACCCAGAGCTGAGAACAGTTGGAGGAATGAGAAGCTAAGCCAGGGGGCTTTGGACCTGGTTGGTGTGGTAGCAGATTCTCAAGCAGGGAAGTGGCCTGGAAAAGGCAGTATTTAGGGCTCTGTTTTGTCATTAGCAAATATTTAGTTTTAGGCTGACTCCCTTTTGTTTGTCACCCAACATGCTCTGACTCAACTCTCTCCTACCCTCGCCACACAGCATGCAAATGAATCACATCATTGCCTTGGCCAAACATAATTTGGGAAGTTAACCTGCTTAGAAATCCATAGAGTATGTTCTAAAATTAAACAAAAGTTTTTTTTAATTATCCAGTCTACTCTTTCTTTTTATTAGTGTGGATTTTGCAGTGTGGATAGTAATTATCCATGAGAATCAAAAATTACTTAATTTTGCATCATATGAGATTCACATAAAAGGACCCTTACTTCTCAGGTCTGGTGCCCGCCTTGCAGATGCATGCAGATGTTTTATTAGCCACCATTTCCACCCGAGTTCCCTGAAGGATTGTAGGAAATCAGTGAACTGTTCTTGTGGTATACTCTAGTCGCTCATAAATTGGAACCACCACACAGTGTGATCAGAATAAACAAACAGAAAGGGTAATAAGGCACGCCAGTAATCACTGGTGACCTCAGCAATTTTATTAACAAATTTATTTTCCTAATTGGATAACGTATCTCAGTGCTTGACTCAAGGGCATTGTAATAGGATTCCATACTGCAGAAGAAGGAATTAATTAGAACTGTTTGTTCTTACTCCATATTTACACTTGTCCACCAGTCTTGTAAACGTTGCCCCTGGTTTCCTCAGTCCTCCAGGTTCTTCTGACTCCCCAGCTTACCCCCAAAATAAATAAATAGAAAGCAGAGAGTAGAGCTGGACATCAGTGGTCCCTCCTTATGTGCATTCTACCCCCACTGCAAGCAGCGTCTCATGGTCAGTATGTGACGGAATCATCACTTCCAATGGGAACTCCAAAGTCTGTTAAGAGATTTCTCATTTTTGGAGATTTTTTGGGGAAAAAAAAAAGTCTGTAAAGGGACCCTCCTCTCCACGGGCAAAAATGGAGAATCGGAGGCCTCGCTTCGCCAGAGCTTGTGCCTGGGCTTGGCCTTGTCCACTTAGAAGCTGGGTGCAGAGCAGGTGAGATGGGCAGATCTGTTCTGCTCATCCTGTCTCACCTAAAACTCTGCTTATGAAGATAAGAGGCTTTCATGAGCTCTGCCTGCCCTTGGAGGGGGCAGCCAGTACAAGGAGAAAAACCATGAACTCCTGAACTCACTCTTCAAGGCTTCTTCAAGTCACGTTTTCTGCCTCACAGCTTGTGCCGACTGCAGCATGAGAACAAGTAAACATTTTTAGATGCAGATACTCCAGAATGTCACAGCAATGCTGGCCTCTAACTTGGGCTGCCCCCTCCAGTGTCCTCCAGAAGGTGCCGCCTTATCCTGGCTGTCCATTCTCCGATGAGCACCATTGGAGCACGGTGCCCGGGGGATGCGCAATCACCTCCAGAGCTGATTTGTTCAGCAGCTGTTAATATAGTCTGCCATATATAGAGATGGCTTTGAAGGTAGATAGGACTATTATGAAAACATCGGAGGGGTGTCTGGACTACCCTAGCAACCAAGAGGTCCCTTTTGGAGATCTACAGCCCAGAAAAATCCGGGTAAGCCCAGGAGGTTTCATTCTCCCTCTTGGATATCCTGCAGGATCCTGATGAGGTTTTCCAGGCCAAAAATATAGCCCAAGTCTGGTCCATCGTAGGTGGTGTGGTCATTCCAGGAGCCCTTGTACGTCGTGTGAGCAAAGTCAATCATGCGGATGTCAACCTTGGTGAGGCCACCTGGAGAGCTGCCGTGGGCCGCCTGGGGAGCATCCCGAGGGTGCGGGCTGCCTGGGGCTCTTTCTGGCGCTTCCTGCCCATCATAGATGATGAGGAGAGAGCTGGAGTAGAAGCGGTATGAACTCTGGCTCCTAATGACCAAGAGGAGGGCCTGGAGCTGGCGCAGGATGGGCTCCAGAAGTTCCCTCCGGAGGTGGGTTCCATTATGCAGGAACTGACAGAGGGCTTGTCTGAACCCCTCCACTGAGAGTTTTCTTCCATAGTACTTGTCTTTGCAGAGAAAGTGCTTCTTATCGGTTTGATAAACCTTACATTAAAGAGACGAAAGAAAATGTGAAGAAAACCTTAAAAAATTGCATCTGGTATAGCCGGTTGCAGCATCACAAGCTAGGATGATATGTGAACAGATTTTTAGGAGATGTAGGCAAGAGTGACTGAAATGAGCAGAAGAAGATCTTCTGTCAAGTGCCAGGGTAGCTCTTACATTTTAAAATGCTTTCTGTGCAAGTCTTTAATAGTAATCCAAGGTCTAAAGATCCTTCACCCTACAGAGGTGACCCTCCACCCACGAGAAAAATGTTTGGATCTCCTTTCTTGTGAATTTCCAATGTCAACCTCCAAATCATGATTTAAGCCCTGGCTTCTGGCTCTCTTCAGTTCAAATACTGGCAAACCCAAGCTAGAAAGCTTTGGTAGGAATCTGAAATCACAGCCAGTGGCCTTGGAAAGCCAAGTAGATTAAAATTTCCCCAGCAAAGTTTACAAAGTCCTTTCTCTGCAGATTCCAAGGAAACAGTAATGCCTCTTGAGGTGGAGTGGGGTAAATTGTTTGAAGATAAAAAGACAGGCTAGGTCGGTATGGACAGAGTTTCCAGCCAGCCAGTGGAGTTGAGGGGAGTCTAGTGGAGGAGGGAGGTTCATGGCAGCTCTGTGGGGCTGGTGGCTCCTCTCCTTGGCAGCATCTCTCCTCCCCTCCCCTGTTGTGTCTTGGCCAACAGAAGGGAGCAGATGGAAGAGAGATGCTGATGGGGGACAGTGGCAGCCACCCCCGTTTCATTCAGATGGCACGGGCAGCAGCCGAGGCTGAACTGAGGCCAGCAGTGGGCATGGCCAGAGAGGGGCTTGGCATCCCTCTGCCTGGCACACCAAGAAGGGCTGCCTGTGCCTGACCAAGACAGTTTCTCAGGTCTTTCCTGCCTTCAGATTACATGATATGTTTATAGAAAACCAGGGTTGAAAAAAACGATATGATAGACTTGGTGTTGCCTTTGGAGGGCTGCAGATTGGCTGCTAAATTAGCCGTCATAAATACATGACAGGCATCACTTTCTAAATAAATCAGATCAATTTCAGAAGATTTGAGGTCCAGAGAGAGACTCCATTTACACCACAAATCATCACACTCCATTCTCTTGAGGACTGCATTCCCGGCTTTCCAAAGGACATCTGTGCAACAAATTTATAGACTCAACTTCCAGCTTCAAGGGGTGGCAGTTTCAATTAAGGAAAGCTATAACATTTACCGTCAAATCGGTGTTTGGTTTTGCTTTGAGTAGACAGACTATAAGAGTGAACAAGTTGAGGAAGCTTATTTCTTCCTGTTCTCCGCAGCCCTGCCATAAGCCACATGAGAGTCCCAAAAAGGAGGCATGGAGCCTGAGTTATAGAAAATAGCCATTCCTTTGCCAGGGTTAGCAGGTTATGACCGTCCCACTTTATTTATTTATTTATTTGTTTGTTTATTTATTTTTTGAGACAGAGTTTCACTCTTGTGGCCCAGGCTGGAGTGCAATGGCGCGATCTCGGCTCACTGCAACCTCTGCCTCCCAGGTTCAAGCGATTCTCCTGCCTCAGCCTCCCGAGTAGCTGGGATTACAGGCGAGTGCCACCTCCCATCTCCAGCTAATTTTGTATTTTTAGTAGAGACAGGGTTTCTCCATGTTGGTCAGGATGGTCTTGTACTCCCGACCTCAGGTGATTCGCCCACTTTGACCTCCCAAAGTGCTGAGATTATAGGCGTGAACCACTGCACCCGGCCCGACCGTCCCACTTTATTAGCCAGAACTGGTAGCAAAAAGTTGGAAAAAAAAGGTGGATTAAGAAGGGGAAGTGGCTAATAGAAATTCGAAGAGCTGGCTGCCGTACAGCAGCTAAGGACAGAATTTAGCTTTATCATTCAAGAGAAGGAGGACTCAGGAAGCCATGGGGTGCACCAAGAAACCCTTTCTCTTAGTTCTTCCCGCAGCCCAGGCTCACACACTGCTGTCAAAGGTCTGCTCACAACAGGAGTGGGAGCCACATGGCCACTGTGGAAAGTTTTAGCTGCCAAAGATTGTAAGAACACATTCAGATGTGATAGTTTTTGACATCACTGTTCTGACACACTGATCCAGTGTGTCACAGACCAGGTTATGCATTTCCTCATTGGAAAACTGGTTCCTGGCCTCCTCTGTGGCTCCCACAAAGTGAAGGGCTCTGCAGGGGGGCAGTGGCATCTGGATGGGAGACATCCTTGTGCTACTGTGGACATGCCGGGATGTCCCGCCCACCCGGCCCCGAGGTGGGTCCCTGCGACCGACCTACCTGCATGCCGCAGATGCGCACACCAAGGCAGGCTGAGGTGCTCTGTGCACACTTCTGCATGTGGCGGGCCTTCTTCTCCTCGGACGCGTCATCGCCGTGCTGCCGGGTCCCCATCTTCAGATCCAGGACGCAGGGGTGCGTGTACTGTGACACTACATTTTCCAGCAACAAGAACCCTAGTCACACTAAGTTAAGGAAGGCTCTGAGGACTTCAGAGCGGCTGCACTGCCAGAGGCCGTTCAAGTGCTTCTGAGGCTGCCTGGAAATTCCCAATTCCAGGCACCATTCTTCACTCCCATTGCCTTCCTTACAGACAAGCTCATCCTTGCTATTAAGAATTCATAGTATTAGCTTTGCAGGCTGCTTTAATAAGTCCATTTATTTAGGGGGAGTTGATGAGTATGTGAGCTTTTTTTCCTTTTCCATTTTGCTCTGAGGTTCAAATTTAAATGCAAGCGTGAAATCCCTGGCAGGCCATGCCCAATTTACATTTTATGGCAGAAAATCATAAGGCTAAAACCTCCAGTCCTGCTGAATGGACCAATACCTTTTGGGAGAAGTGGGTTGATGTTAGCTTTGGAGATGAGTTCCAGGAATATTAATTTCAGTGGAGTAATTATCCTGCAAAAGCTTCTTAGGGATTATGATTGCAGATGTGTCTTGGTAAATACTATGAAACCAGCCACCGATTTGCAGACAGGAGCCCAGCAGTGGTGACAGAGGGGTCTTTCAAACCTAAATTTTCTCCCTGAAAACTCTGTGGTGAAGGGGACTTGCCTCCTCTCCCACAGTCCATCCCATGGGCATTGCCCTGAGGGAGGAGCCACACTTCCCTCTCACTGTGTGGGCCCCATGTGAAGATGCCTTCGGGGAGAATTTGGAGGGATGGAAGGGAGGTTGGGGCTGGGGGCCCATCCAACTCTCTGAGCCCCCTGCTGCCCCCATCTAACATGGCATTCATCATTCCTGTCTGACCACAGACACTCCCACCCCAACCCATCTTTACTGCCAAGTGGCAAAGACACAGCCAGCCCCTGCCCCACAACTAACCCAGGGCACTATACTCAGCATAATTCCCAGTCTGCCTTCCCCATACTGTCTAGCTGTTCTTTTTTTTTTTTTTTTTTTTTTTTTTTGTCATAGAGTCTTTCTCTGTGGCCCAGGCTGGAGTACAGTGGTGCAATCTTGGCTCATTGCAACCTCCGCCGCCCAAGTTCAAGTGATTCTCCTGCCTCAGCCTCCCGAGTAGTTGGGACTACAGGCACGCACCACCATGCCCAGCTAATTTTTGTATTTTTTGTAGACACAGGGTTTCGCCATGTTGGCTAGGATGGTCTCGATCACTTGACCTTGTGATCCACTTGCCTCGGCCTCCCAAAGTGCTGGGATTACAGGCATGAGCCACTGTGCCCGGCCTGTCTGGCTGTTCTTTTGGAGGCACCTGGTTTCTTCTAGGACCCGGGTTTGTGGGCTTGTGCCTACCAGCTCTTCCTCTCATCTGTCTCTCCCGGCCCACCCTTCCTTGGCCCCGTGTTTGTGTGTGTTTCCTCTATCCTCCTCTGCCTCCCTATGTCTCTCTGTCCCTCTGCCCTTGGGACCACGTGTGATGGAGTTGGCAAGGATACGATGTCGTTTGTTCTCCGGGTACTCGGAGCACAGGCGAGTCAGGTGGGCCTGGTGGCAGTGCAGGCCCCATGGGTTGAAGCTCTTCTTCTCCACCTGGTTCCTGTTAGTGTCTTCCACCAGCAAGAAGTCTGGAGTGCTGAGCTGGGGCTCGGACCTCAGGAGAGCCTTGGCTGGGCTGCAGGGGAGGGGAGCACAGGACGGTCAGGGCAGAGGTCTGAGGAAGGGCACCGCTGCCTGTGGCTGACCAGGCTCTCTGAGATGGGCTCTGACAGGGTGGTCCCAGCTGCTCTCCAGGGCGGCCCTCACCAGGCTGGGGCACCCTCCCTACCCAACTCGGGTCCAGACTGCACCACGCTGCAGCCCTTAAGGGGCTTCTCCAAACCCTGGGATCACTTATTAGAAATATTTCCCCTCTCAGAGGGCTGAAGTGATTTGAACTCACTTGTGGGTGATCTGGATTATTAATGGTCTTACTATTGAGGCAACCCAGTGAGGGGGCAGTGGCCCTATCCGGAATCATAAGCCTGGGGTTGGACTCTGATACTCCAGCAAGCAGGCAGGCTGTCACCTCCCTGTGACCTCAGAAGGCCACGGGAGTGGGGTTGGGGCTGCGGGGAGCTCGGGACTGTGGCTGGCCCTCTCCTCCTGCCCTCTTGGCATTTTGGCATTGCCATCTGTGAAATGGAGATAATGTGCCCGCTTCCTGACTCCAAGCCAAGAGGCTTAATGAGATCCGCTGCACTCCTTGGGAAGGGAGATATTTTCATTGTATTAGCTCCCTTTTGTTTTCCATAAATGTTTTAAAAAGCCCCAGGGAGCCTTTTCACCTGAGAAAGGTCAGCTGACATTGTCAGAGGTTTTGGTAGTGACCTCCCGCACCTGAGCCTCCTGCATCTCCAGGGACCCTCTGAGTGCCGCACTGACCTCCCTCCTGGCCCCTTCCAACTGCTAGGGAAAGAGATGATTTCTGAGAGCAATTAACCACACTTTTCCTCTGCATACACCATTCTAGGGTTTCCGTTCTGCACATTTCCTCCCCAGAGACACTTCATGGTCTCGGTGAAACAGGTATTTAATTAAACAAATATGTACCGAATACCTACTCAGTAGAGAACTCTGCCTATGCATCAACTTCTGAGATAAAATGCATTGTAATCCTCCCTTCTAGAAGTGGCATAAAGAAAATCCATTCCTTTCTTCAGTCACATTGGTTATTCTAGACAGAGCATTCATCTGAATATCTCATTTTTTCAGCGCCAGCCCTAATGGGGAGTGGTTGGCCTTGGGCACAGGTGGGAGCAGTGCCAGTCCCTGCCTAGGGACAGGTTTCTGTCATCCTGCCCAGTGGCCTCACCTCTCTTTGGGTGAGCGTGCCATCTGGGCATGTGGCCACTGGGCAAGGGCGCGGGCGCTGCCACTGCTGCCGGTGGTCTGCTGGAGGGTCTGCCAGATGGCTACTGCCGCCGACTCTGTGGAGACCTTGAAGGGCTCCTGGTTCTCCTTCAGTGGGTTGGCAACCAAGCTGAGATGGCCTGTGCTGTCTTTCCAGAGGTGCACAGTGACGGTGCCTGCAAACACACGGAGGGGGGGGGGGGGCGGGGAGGGGAGGAGCCACATGAGGAGGCCTCCTCTCGGACATGTGGCAGCTATGACAGGCTATAGTTTAATGGCCCTCATCCACCTCCCCCTTCCCCAGCTTCTCTCGCAAGGAAGAGCCAGGGGACTGGCCTGGTTTTGCCTGAACTGATTCTGTCCCAGAATGAGCCCTGGAGCTTGTAGAAAATAGCCTTGGGCTGATCTTGGCACATCCTCTGCTTTATCTCACTTCCCTGCCCCTTCATGCTTTAAACAAAGTCAACTCCACACATTTTGTCCTCGCATTCCAGTTCCTCTGTGCCCAGTGGCACCTCCCAGTCACGCCACAGCCAACCCAGCTCTGCCGGACCTGGGGGCATTGGAGCCAGTCCTCTGTGAAGAGGCCTCTCGTCTCAGGGTGCCAGTGAGGGAAGTTGGGCCTATCCCATCCCTCCTGGTGCCCTCTGCCTCCTGATCACCCTTCCTCTCCCTCCCATAGATCTTTATCTGACCCGCTTCTTCCAGGAAGCCTTCCTCTTACGGCCTTCCAGGTCTCAGGGCTCCCCATCACCCCTTCACTCACCCTCCCCTGTCTGTCTGCCCTTGAGCTGATGGCCGGCCATTTCCTCTGGTTAGACGTATCTGCACATGATGATTATTGGTGGAACATGGTTCTTTGATGAAATAACCCTTGTGAGATTTCCCCAGTGGTACCTCCTACCATCGGTGTTAGTCATGAAGGCACAAAAACCACTGTTGTGAAACTGAAGAGTATCTGAAATGCCCTTAACCTACATGCTAAGGGGCGTCCTCCTGGGCATTGGCTGGGCTTGGGTAATTAGCTGTGTCAGGTACATTAGCAGCTCTGTGGCCACCCTTTAGCTTCTTCCCTCTGCTGGTAGCAGAGCTCTGGCCCTCCTCTGTGGAGGGCGGCCTCCAGTGGTGCCTGGCCTCGCCACAGTCCTGGTAGTAGCACAGGAGATGGCCACCCTTGTGGTTTTGGGAGAACCGGAGGTGAGAACACATGTCCTCTCTCCTGCAGCGATGCACTTAAACTCTCTGCACCTGCCCTCACCCGTCCACTCTGCACCCCCTCCATCCTGCTTTGTGCCGAAGGGGTGACCTGATGGAGTGTACCAGTGGCTCCCTTGCCCTCCGGTTTCCTAGTGGATTTGCACAGTGCAGGGCACTGGCAGGAGATGTAAGGGTGGGAGGAGAAAGGTTGGGCATTTATTCCACTAGTTCCCTCCCTACTTCACTGTGTTCATACCCTGCTGTGTTCCTCTGTGGCCCTCCTGGCCTGGGGTAGTGACAGCTTTCTAGTGTTGCTGGTCCCTGGGTCCCCCCAATCCCTGATTGTTCCCCTGAATCCTGCATATACTTCTTCAAACAGTTCCTTATTTTTTTTTCAAACAGAGTCTTGGTCTGTTTCCCAGGTTGGAGTGCCATGGTGCAATCTCAGCTCGCTGCAACCTGCCCCTCCCGGGTTCAAGCAATTCTCCTGCCTCAGCCTCCTGAGTAGCTGAGGGATTGCAGGGATTACAGGTGCCCACCACCACATCCAGCTAATTTTTGTATTTTTAGTAGAGATGGGATTTCACCATCCTGGTCAGGCTGGTCTCAAACTCCTGACCTCATGATCCATCTGCCTTGGCCTCCCAAAGTGCTGGGATTACAGGCATGAGCCACAGTGCCCGGTCAAACAGTTCCTTTTTAAGGTTCTCTTCATCTAACCTCCTTGGAATGTACTTTTTGTTTTCTGCTGGGCCCTGACCGAGAGAGGGTGGGCTGCACGTTTGTATGTCCTCCAGGGTATTTATTTATTCCCCCAGCCACGTGGTCACCTTCTCAGAGTAAGTGGCGGTTTCTGCTGAGCCAGCCGTGAAGGCGGCTGATCTCCCTGCCCGTGTACCTGCTGGGCCCTCCTGGGCTGGCCAGTGTGGACACTAATTTTCAGGTCTGCTCTATCATTCAGCAAGTCGCTCTCCAGAGCTGCCTTTGCCTAGCTCAGCGGCCTTCCCGGGCCAGTCCTGTCACCTCAGATTCCCAGTGCCCTAATGAGAGTGACATTCAGTCCTCTTCATCCCCTAAAAAATGCTGCCTTTCCTCACGCCATCCCAGGCTCCTGTGTCCTGTGAAGTCTTCATGATGATAATGATAAGGCTGTCCCCAACCCTGGCATTTTACCATTCACCTGCCACCAGCATTCACCCCTAGGCCAAGGCCATCATCACTGTCCTGCTCGCAAGCCAGTGGCTGACAGCAGGTTGGGGAAGGAGTCACAGAAAATCATAGCCACCCTGTCTTCCACCTGCTGGGTGGCACATTGCAATTTTCCCTTGCTACCAAAGTCACAGTTTGCCTGTAAGGCTGTTGACAGTGGCTGCCGAGGCTCGGAGGGATGGGAAAACCTGCCCAAGGTCACACGGTTGGTGTGGGGTGAAGCTCTGGGAGGCCCACGCCAGACGTGGGGATGGACGAGGGGCAGGCTGTTGTGGAGGGTCTGGTGTGGTCACGCTGTGTTTACCCCAAGTTTGCATTAGGAGCATTCCTGCTGTGTCCCCAGTCATGTTTATTCTGGTGATTCTGTTCCAGAGGAGAGAACAGAGAGGCTGTGACGACTGAGGGTCGTCAGCACCAAGGACCGGGAGCCCAGGCTGCAAGGACATGGCATTTACATTTCCAGGCCTGTGTCTTAGGAAATGAGGGCTGGAGTGCTTGTTTCAGAAACCAATGCCTGTCTCGAGCCCATTCCTCCAGGTGCAAGAAGGGGAGAGAGCCACCAGCCTCGCACAGGTCCTGGGGAGCCCAGAGGCCTCCCAGCTGCCTGGGGAGCCGAGGAAGATGTGCCGGTCATGGGCAAGGCCCTTTTGGGTCTTGGAAAGTTCAAGCTGCCCTCCACCATCTTCCTTGCCACATATGAGGCCACGGTGACAGGCCTGCCAGGAACCACCATCTTGGGAGCCGCAGGAGCAGGAGGCCTCCCTGGAGTGACAGGAAGTGTGACCTTTACCCGCTCCTCCAGGCTCCAGCACTTGTCTGATCTCATCAGTTCTGAGTGCCTGAGTAAATGGAGGCGAGCAGAGGTGCAAATAACCCAAAACCAATAAAATCCAAAAGTCACTTCCATTTCTCATATTGTCAGAGATACACAGCCAGGCTCTGCATCTCTGCCTCTCTGTCTTTCTGCATGCCTCTGATGGGCTGTGTCTGTCTCCAGCTCTTGTCTGTCTTTCTCTCCCTCCGTCTCTCTCACGCCCCTCTGTGGCTCAGCTCAGCCCTTTCCTCTGAAGTTGGGGACCCCAAGCAGATAGCCCCCTTGCAAACAGGCTCCAGTTGCCTGCCCTTGACAGAGCAGCATGCCAATGGAATCCAGGCTCCTCTGCTGGAGCCATGTGAACTCCAGCCTGGTTTCCAGCTTGCCCTGCGTGTCTGTGGGGATGAGGCCTTGGAGACCCATGGGCTCCCAGAGCTCTCCTGACAGGGACCAGGAGAGTGTGGGAGCCAGCCAGAGTCTTCCTGCCTGCCCACAGCCCTCCCTGCCCATCTTGACCCGAGACCATGCCAGCTGGACAGACAAGAGAGCTTACTGCCACGACTGGCAGGCCCTGAGCATCTCAGCAATTTTGGTTTGGCTGAGCAGCTTCCTGAGCCTCAGTGAATATTCCATCATGTATTTATTTTTAAGTTTATGAGAGCATTTACTTGCTGCCGTCTGTAATATGAGTTGGGTCAACTGTTAACCAACTGGACCGGAGAGTGCATCCTCTTTCCCCAGCGCTGGTGGGCAGCCTGGGAGGAGGGGGTGCAGCCCCGAGGCACCATCACGCCTGTGGAGCCCAGCAAATGTCCCACGCAAGCTCTGACCCAAGAGGCTGCCCTCTGGAGTGACGTCCGTGCCCATTGTCCTTCCTGATGCCATTGTGGTGCAGAGTGGCCAGAAGGAAGAATACACACTCCATGGCATGTGGTGGCCACTTCAGAAATGGCCCCTCTCACTGGGGGGCTGTTGATATAGGGGAGTAAAGGGAGCCCCCGGGGCAGCCATGTGGGGATTCAAGTCCCCGTGATCTGGGGTCCTAGCTGAATGACCCCTCCCTCCCTGGGCTAGATGACTCCTGAGCACTGACACCTGAGTCTACCACTTTAGTAACAGTGTAGCTGAGTGGAGCAGCCCGTGTGGCCAAGAGCCCACAGTCGGGAGCCAGACCTCAGAGCCTGGCTCTGCCTCTCAGTGGCCATGAGGCCTCAGGCCCACCACAGAACCTCTCTGTGCCTCAGCTTCCTCATCTACGACAGCGGGGGATAAAGGCCCCTGCCTCAGCATGCTGTGAGGACCGCGGGAATTAGTGCGCGGAAGCCGCTTACAGTTGTGTCGGGCGCAGCAGACGTAGCGTTTGAGCAGATGCTGCTTTTCTCAGAAGCAGCCTACGCCACCCAAGAGCCCTTGCAGGGACTCTTCCCATCGATGACCCGACTCAGCCACCCGTCCTCCTGCCTCTGCCCCTGGCATCTGAGCACCTGAGTCCTGGTTTTGGGCCTCGTCCTAGAATGTCCTGAAATGTGTGTATTTCCTTAGTCAGTGCTTGGACTGTGGCCCTGTGTGAGTCGTGTTCTGGTCAGTGAGGGAATCAGCATTTCCGCTTCATCCAAACTTGGGCCCACAGGCCCTGTCTGCCCCCACCTGCAGGCAGAGTAGGTGGCCGGCTAGGTGGTTTCTGAGGGGTGTCATGGGTGCCCTGACCCAAGTCCCTCTTGGCTTATATAGAAACATCATCTGCGTGAGGCCGGAAGGCAGATGCTGAGGTGGCCTCTGTAGGTGTGGATAAGTTTAGCTCTGATGCCTTGGCTCAAATTAATGTATTCAGTTAGCAGAGCCCCAAGGGGGCTGACCCTGTGATGGGGCTGACCTGAAGGGGGAAGCAGTGGGGAGCAGAGGCCTGGACAGAGGCCAGTGCTCCAGGGTGCTGAGAGTGGGGCCCTCCTACCCCCACCGGCACGTGGCTGTGTGCAGGCGGGGAGCAGAGGAGGGATGAGGACGGCCTCCTGAAGGCCATGCCAGCCTCTCTGCCTCTCCTACTTGGCCTGCAGCTACCTAGCATCCATCTCAGCTCCAGAGCTGTGTGGAGCAAGTGTGAAATGCTCCTGGCAGGTGGCTGCCACACACAGTCCTACTACCCCTCTGCTGAGCTAAGTTCAGCTATGAAGGGACAGACATTAATTCCAGTGGCTACTCTGACAAGATGGGAAGTGACCCACAACCAGCCAGGTGACACCAGCCTGCGGGCCTGGAAGACCCCAGGGAGAGGGAGACCCACACAGGCAGCCCATGGAGCGTCTTCCCTTGTCTCTGAGTGTGTGACGCTGATCGGTCTTGTCTTAGACTCTCAGGAGGTCCTGGCAGGCCAGCCTGGACTCCAGGCATGTGTGAAATAGTGCTTGGAAGCAATGCTCAAGGCCCCAGGCCCTGGTCCCCCCACCAATGTTAGGTCTGGATCATGCTAAATAAGAATTCCTGGCCCTCACCCCGAGACCCCAGGCATTCTGATTGACAGGTCTGGCATGGGGCGTGGGGACCCGTGTGCCTGTGCGCACATACACACTGTATTCCCAGGCCAGGTTGCACTTAAGAACCACTGGGCCCCATCCTTCCCAGTTATTGTGATTATCGAAATGCCAACATGTTTTTGACTGACTTATTTGGATATTATTGTGAGCTTCACCACCAACACTTTGACAATGAGGGCAGCAGCTTGCCATCATGGGGTCTACAGTCCTCTAAGGAGGTGATTTTTCTGAGCACTCACCCCACTGCTGGGGCTGGACGCCTGGCAGAGCATGGCTGAGCCCTGTGAACCTCATTTTCAGAAGGCTGGGTGTGGACAAATCAGCCTGGCCTGGGGAGCCTGGCCCCTGCCCGCAGGCCAGCAGGCAGTACCCTCCTCACCCGCTTTCTGTCCTCAGAACCCACCTTGTGCTCAGATGCAGGACACATGATGCCCCATCTACATGATGTAGCAGAAGTTTCCCAGCTACATCCAAGCAGCAGCCTGTTCCCCTGGCTTTGCCCCTTCCTGGGCAAGGGTGGGAGTTCTGGCTTCCCAAGCAAGCCACATCCAGCATCTCCAAGCCCTGTCCCAGGCCTGAGGGTCCCGCCATCCTCCTGGGCTTTCAGAGGGAGGTTTAGGAGGCCCCAGTCTGCCCTGTGTTTACAGCCGGCATCAGACGCATGCGGCCTTGAGGACTGGGTGGGGCAGGGCGCTGTTTCATTCTCTCCATCACTCGAAGCCTGCTGGCTTGAGCTAATTTGTAAGGAAGCCCAGTAGCATTACACTCCAGATCTGGAAGCTTAAAGAGTTCAGAGAAACTAGGACAGCAAAGGCCAGCCCTGCTAGGAGAGGGGGCACATCTCCATGGCAACCCTTACACACACCCACAGTGCAGGAAGCCTGGGTGGGTGCATTGGATGAGCCGACCCCTGTGTGGCGGCACCCGGATGCAGCCTGGCTGCCCAGACACTCACCTTTGTACTGTGGGGTGAACTGCTTCATGGCCAGCGGCAGGGACTCGTAGAAGCTCTGCTCCCGGGAGATGAGGGGCTTGCACACCGTGTCGTCGTCATACTTCATCACGCTCAGGTGACCCCCAACCTGGTGCAGGAAGGGCTCTAGCTGCACACCCACCCTCATGTCCCCGGCATCTGCGCTGTTTTGCACAACCATGGTGACACACGGTGGTGGGGTGGGGGTTGCCGCACAGTCTGCTAGAGGAAGGTGTGAAGTAGAGGGGTGGCTCCTGACAGCACGCGAGGCTGTCAGCGGTCCTCAACTTTCTCCTTCTTGGCCTTTATCGCTGTCATCGCACAGCTGTCCTGTCTGTGGGTTCTCAGTGGGGGCCTCTGGAAAGCAGGGGAGGAAGGTGGAAGTTATATGAGGGAGGTGGTGGCTGGGGCAGGGCATGCTTTAGAAGGGTCCACACGGCCTCGAACCCAGAACAGGTTCCTCACTGGTACCTTAAACAGTTCTGTGAATACCCATCGATTACTTCTAGAATAATCTGTCACGAGAAACCAGTTACAGCGGTTGCCTCTATGGAGCAAGGATGAGAAGGAGACTTTATTTATTTATTCAAGATGAGGTTGTGCTCTGTCACCCAGGCTGCAGTGCAGTGGCATAATCTTGGCTCACTGCAGCCTTGACCTCCTGGGCTCAAGTGATCCTCCCACCTCAGCCTCCAAGTATCTGGGACTAAAGGTTTGTGCCACCATGCCTGACTAATTTTATATTTTTTGCAGAAACAGGGTCTCACCATGTTGCCCAAGCTGGTGATCCACCCACATTGGCCTCCCAAGTGCTGGGATTACCGGCGTGAGCCACCGTACTCAGCCAGAGACTTTAAATAATGTTTTGTACTTTTTATATTAAAATGTTAACACATTTTAATAATTCAAGCAACACACTGTAAGCCTCCGGGGTGCAGAGACTGTGTCTTAACTTCCCCTGTCATGTTGCCTGCCCTCCTCTGGGGACGCTGATCCCAGGCCCAACAAGAAGCAAGCTGAGCCCCTGCTGCTGGGCTCTAACTGCCTTGCAGGGGATTATGAGAACAGGAGTGCCTTGTTCATTCATTCATTCATTCATTCATTCATTTTGAGACAGAGTTTCACTCTGTTGCCCAGGCTGGAGTGCAGTAGTGCTATCTTGGCTCTTGCAGGGATTATGGATACAGGAGTGCTTTCTTTCCTTTTTCCTTTCCTTTCCTTTCCTTTTTTCCTCATTTCCTTCTTCTCTTTCCTTCTTTCTCTCTTTCTTTCTCCCTCCCTCCCTCCCTCCTTCCCTCCTTCCTTTTCTTTCTTTTCTTTCTCACTGTGTCGCCCAGGCTAGAGTGCAGTGGTGCAATCTCAGCTCACTGCAACCTCTACCTCCCGGGTTCAAGCAATTCTCCTGCCTCAGCCTTCCAAGCAGCTGGGATTACAGCCACCTACCTGCTACCGCATCTGGCTAATTTTTGTATTTTTTAGTAGAGATGGGGTTTCGCTGTGTTGGCCAGGCTGGTCTCGAACTCCTGACCTCAGGTAATCCACCCGCCTTGGCCTCCCAAAGCTGGGATTACAGGCATGAGCCACCACACCTGGCCAGGAGTATTTTATTTTTGTACAGCATGGCTATGCACCATTGATTTACATCACAGCTCCACCACATAATTGCTGTGTGACCTTGGACAAGTTACTGAACCTTTCTGGGCCTCAGTTTCTCCTTCTCCCTCTGTAGAACAGGATAATAATGATACCCACCTCATGGAGTTAGGGACATAATTGAGATAAGGCAAGCCCAGTACCCAGAACAAAGTGTTCAATAAATGCGATCTATCAGTATTTCTAGCGTTATTGTCATGCTGGCCCTATTTTCCTCACAGCTCGTGGTTGTAGGACAGCAGGCCTCTTCGCAAATGAGGACAGTGAGGCCTACAGTGCCATGCGCAGGGACGCGACTGCCAGGAGAGTGGAAGTAAAGCCGGGGCTGCTCTTCCCCAGGCCTGGCCCCTCCTCCCCCACTCCCTCCTCTTACCCTCCCTGAGGGTGGGCCTGTGGGTTTCAGGCAAAAGCTGGAGCTCTGGGCTGGAAACACAGCCCCTGAAGATGTCCTGGCTTTGTCTCAGGAGAGTGCCAAGGAGAAACTGCGAGGCGACGCTCCTCCTGCCCTGTTCGTCCTGTCCTGAGAGCACATTCCCACAGCGGTGCCCGTCACTACCGAGTTATTAATACTCTCTCCCTCTGCTGGACTCCTGGTCATGGATGCCACCAGACTGGGCAGTGCTGGGCATGATTAACCCTCTAATTGACCTTCAGTCCAGGCCATGCGCACAGCGGCTGGATTCATGCACAGCAGTGCCCATCGATTTGTTCAGGCCTCTGGCTCAGAGAGGCTCCTGCCAGCCACCCGGAAGTCCAGCTCTCACTTGGACACTGAAAACCTCAAGATGGCCTGTTCACTCCCCAACATTGGGCCTCTTCCACATTGGCTACCGCCCTGCAGGCCCAAATTGCCCTATAGGAGGGGGAAGGAGTGTGGCTTCTGGCTGGTACGTAGGACGCGGGGTGAGGTTTCTGTGGCCGGCTGCGTCGCTGGAGTGGCTGGGTGAACTGGGGCTGCTGGGGCAGGAGGATGGAGGCCTGACGGGAACGGGGCTGGGCCTGAGAGTCTGGCCCAGACCCTTCCCCAGCTCTGCTCCAATGCGGAACAGAGGTGAGCCCCACCTGGTAGCTGTTTCAGGACCCGAGAAAAGTTGGTGACAGGTATCTGGACGCAGAGGAAAATTGGCCCACAAAAAAGCTGATAACTTCAGTTTGCTAACCCTTTGGTTATGCGACAGTATATACCAGTTGCCTGGAAACCCAATCCTACTTACAAATTTGGAGAAGGCAGGAAGGAGTGGAGCAGAGAAGGCAAGGCAGCCTGATACCTCCCCTCTCACTGGGCTCGCTGGCATGCCAGGCTTTGCCAGCTGACCTGCCCCCCAGACAGAGGCACTTCTGGTGACCGCGGGGACAGCTAGTCTGCAAAGTTCATTTATAGCCACTCCTGGAAGGAGCGAGGCTCCCTCCCTGCACACTCGTATCCCCAGGGCTGGCCCCGCACTAGCCAGGCCTGGCCTTGGCTGATGCCAGCCCAGCTCTGCCAGCGCGTCTCAGCCAAATCACACATGGGCCTCATGCTGCTGTCCTGGGAAGTCCATGCCCCTCGTCTTTCCCCGGCTAACCTCCCAAAGGAGCTCTAAGGACATGGTCGTCACCATGGCAAGGTGTGACAGGGAAATAACGGCAATAAATGGTAACGCATATGGTGCTTGCTGTGGCCACGCTCTAGTGTTTTGTATTGAGGAAGCCATTTAAGCCTCACAACTCCGATAACCCTGTGAAGCAATTAGTGTTACCAGCCCGTTTGATAGATGAGAAAACTGAGGCATAGTGAGGTGAAGTCACTTCCCCGTCTGCACCTGCTAGGATGGGAAGAGCAGGGATTTGAACCCAGGCATGGCTGCCCCAGAGTATGCTCCCGTGCCACAGGGGGCTGAGGGTTTATCTACTTTAAATTTTAGGAAATTGAGCCACAAGGAGGCTAGGATTCAGCCAAAGTCACCTATAAGTTTCTGGCAGTGCTGTGATAGGTTTTCTTATCTCCCAGGCCTGGACTACCCCCCGTCTGGTCTCCCTATCCCACTTGGGGACATTCACTACATGTGCTAGGAGTGGGTGGGCTGGAAAGGGGAGCACACCTTTCCCCACCTCTGCAGAGACCACCACGAGGGATCAGGCAGGAAGCCAGCCTAGAGCAGGATTGATATCAACGTTCCCCACGGCCTTCTGGCTGCAGGTGTCAGTGAGACCTGAGCGGCGCTGTCATTCCCAGCACGGAACTGGTTCGTGCTGCAGTGTCCCCTCTCTGATCTCAGGCATTCTCAGGAGCCCTGGCTGTACCCCTCAGAGAGCACCACGTAAGCAGGGAAGACCCCTGGGCCTTCAGCACAGCCTGCGGCACAGCACCGCAAACTCCCCTCCCCCAGACTTGGACGAAATGGCAGCGATTGTCTACCAGGTAGCCAACCTGTGGAATAAAAGCTGGACCTGGCAGCTCAGGAAACTGAGGCCCTTTCTCTTGAGGGTCAGCCTAGGGTGAAGATCAGGTGACGTCTGCGGGGCCTCCTGCTCCTGAGCTGTGTGGTCTGCAATTCTGACACAGGTTGGTAGGAAGGGGCAGAAGGAGGTGGGAGGAGCAGTGGCTTCAGCGCCTGGAGCTTGAGCCTGGGTTGGGCAGGGTGGGATTAGCCACTGTGGCTTCCCCTTGGCACTGATGCTGACCTCAGATTCCCAAGAAGACTAGAGTTCTTTATCTGTTTGTGCCTTTGTGTGTGGAAGGCCCCAGTTTTTCCCATTCCTCATGGGCAAGTCCCAGTTAAATCATTCAAGTGACAGGACCTTTCTCAGCCCAGACCTTCCTTTTGCAGCATGCAAGCACTTCTGCCGTTGGCATAGGCCCTGCTTTGACCAGTGCCTTGGGCTCTGTTCTGTTTCCTAAGAGCCTTGGGCAAGAATCAGAAGCCCAGGGTCTACTCCAGGTGCTCCTGGAGCTTGCTGAGACCTGAGATGAACCGGGGAAGTGCTCTGAGGCTTGGCTTGCCGCCCTCTGCCACAGCCTCGTCATGACAAAGTGCAGATGCTCCTTTGAGGAGTCTTCCTTTCAAGCATTGCCACCACATGGGGTCTGTCACTGCATGGGTTATTCTCAGAACCGACTCCCGTGAGTCAGCTTGGGTGCTGGATGGCAGGAGAGGCACCCGCTGCCCTCTGACACACTGCCGAATACCCTGGGCTCTCTTTAGTGCTTTGAAGGGGGACAGTTGTCCTTCTCTCCAGCCCACACCTCCTCCCACATCCCTACAGCTCAGACCCCTTGCCCAGCATCCTTCCCTAGGGCACCTTGGGGAGGCATAGGGGGAGTAAGATTGAGGCAGAGAAGAGGGCAAGATGCCCCTAGCCAGAAGAGCTCAACTTAAAGGCTGCCCAGCCCTTGCCTCCACCAGGAAACAGACAGATGGCCCCAGGTCCCTGTGTCCTCCTGCCCTGTCATTGCATCATGTCCTGAATGAAATAACGCTGGGCCTCACTCCAGGAGACTCAAGGGCTTTTTGCTGATGGGTGCAGACACTGAGCTGGTTGTTAAATGAGGCCCTGGGCTGTCTGTGCCAGTACAGACCCTGCTCTGCAACCCCGCAGGGCCTGAGTGACAGCCAGCCTGTGCTAGCCTGTGAGCCACTCCCTAGTCTGAATGGAGGGTCAGCAACAGCAGGGCCTCGAGTGTGTTTGGCTTCCAGAGTGGGGACAGATGACAGTACCAGTGA